AGATTGTATTTTATCTTTCTATTTGATATTACTTTGAAGTGCTATTTCATTTTTCTATTTTAACCTTAACAACATACTGAATCCATTCCTTCATTACTTTATTCATTTTATATTGGTGATCTTCTGTTCATTTGGAAATGATTCACAGAAGCCTGCTAATAATATGAATGAGGCATCATTAACAAGTTAGCATTTTACACACCAAAGGAACACTAGCTAGTCTCACTTCAAAGAGAACTGAGTGCTCTGAAACCTGAAACTATAATAGTCTATTGTTTTGGAATATCTGTTTAACCAGACAAAGGTGTGTTCCTGTTGTTTATGCTGCATTTGTTTAATTACATAAAGATATGTTGCATTTGTTTCTCCTTGCCTGCCTAAGGTACCTGATTGTTCTATTAAGGAACTGAACAGAAAACAGCTAGGCAGAGAAAGATAGGCTAGGCTATCAGGCAGAGAGAATAAATAGCAGGAGAAATCTGGGCTGGAAAAGAATCAGAGAAGAGAAGAAGAAGAGAACAAGGGAGACGCCTGGGGCAAGAAGCCAGGCAGCCACCACCAGCCAGACATACAGAAGCAGTGAGAGTAAGATCCACAGATGTAAGAAAAGGTAATAAGCCCCAAGGCAAGAGGTAGATAAAGAGAAAGAGATTAATTCAAGTTGAAAGAGCTAGCCAGAAATGTGCCTAAGCTAGGCTGAGCATTCATGACTAATAAGTATCTGTGTCACGATTTCGGAGCTGTTTGGTGGCCTAAAAGAAAAAAAAAAAAAAACCTGGTATACTCTATGCTTAAATTTTCCCCTTCAAAACTTCAAAGTATATATCACTCTGAAATTAGTGTTCATCATGTCTTGGTCAAACATCTAGTGAGTGAGTTGCATCATTGGTAGCATTCACAAAAGCCTTCATAACCACGAAGGCTGCAATTCTTTGTAGTTGTTCAGTATCTCTCTTAGTTTGTTTTGCCTGCTCTGATAAGGATTGAATGATCTATCAAGAATAGAATGTTACCTCTGACAGTATTGGAGCATAGGGAGTCCCAAATAAAGATAGTGCTCCCTGGTGAGGAGCCATCCACTCTTTTGTGAATGACTGTAGGTTATCAAGCCCTCACATGGAGAAGGTGCAGAAGAGTAGAAAGAACAAAAATACCTTTGTACTATTTTGTACTATGATTACTAACATGAAATTTGTCATGAGGGTAAAATTCATAAGGGTTGGGCTATTGTAATATCATCACCACTTAAGAGTGCTAACTCTTAGTACTAGCTCCGTGGAAATTACATTCAGTAAATGCATTTTAGAGAGCAAGCATCATTCAGGACACAGTCACTTCTTAAATGTCTTCAGTTAATGTCACCAGCATTCTACTGTACCGGCAGTTTCAGATACGTGTAAATTCAAAAATGGTTGCTAAAGTTTGTGTGGTGAAAATGGAAATAATCATGGCAAAAGTTAAAAGCATTAAAATCATTTACAATAATGTTGTAGTGGTTGAATAAGAGCAGGGGGAAGACAGTATATTTAGTATCACTCACAAATCATTTAACTTCTCACTTCATCTTCCGATAGGACTCAGTGAAATACATTAAACATATGATCACAAATGCTAGTGATGAATCTGCTCATTCTAACTTAATAATTTTAATGCTTTAGTTTATGTAAAATCCATCATTCAAACAATTATAGTAACTATCTAATAAAGCAACCAAGAAGTAATGGATATGTACCACTGCCTATCATAGTATGTAGATTGCTATATTGTATGTCTTAAACATAAGTATATTACCTGATATCTGAACATGACAGTCATACTATATTGTCTATTATCACCAACATTTTTATCATCCACACTTACAGATGAAGAATATGAAAGAAAAGGCAGGTAATTAATGTAGCCCCACAGCTGCAACTTGAAGTGATAGGATTAGTATGTGCTACTACTAGGCATAAAGCTTGAACAATCTGCATAAAAAATACCTGTGTTTATGTACTGAGTCTTTGAGATCAGGTATTTCCTATAACTTTACCTATATCTATAACGATTTGGTATAAAGCTAATCCTTTACTTTTATTTATGATTGTGCCAATTTCTAGTTCTCTTCTTTTCATTCAAGATCAAGAGCTCACGTTTGGTCAACTTTTCTTTCTTTTTCTAGGGACTTATTTATTTTTCCTGTTGTGCAATTAATCATTCAGTAATGAGGCACAAACACATATGTGCATTGTCCTCTGTCAACTAATTTATCTTTAGTCCATATTTCACAATTTGTTCAGGCTTCTGTGATAAAGACTCATTGAAATCTCAGTAATTTAGCATTTATCTTCATAAGACAACTGTTGGTATTGTTCGCAGGAGACCAAGTTTCAGAGTTTTGCAGGGAAGCTGAATTCTCTTACTTTAAATGAATGCTTATTGCTTGTGTGTAGCTATTCTTGATAAATATTTCTAACAGAAATCTCCAGGGGAGCCTTTGATTTTTTTTCTCAGAAACTAGGCTTATGTAAGTATTGCCTTCAGATCAGTTCTACTAAGTAGATGACATTCTCACCATTACAAATGCCTCCACCCTCAGAGAAAAACACTGAGCCATGTACAGCTGAGTCTGTTTTCAGCTATGAGATAGCTCTTTGTAGTAGCCCTGATGAAACATATAGGTAAAAAACAAAACAAAACAAAACTTTATTATACAGAATGAATTAGCATGACAAAAAAACAAAGCAAAACAATACAGGAAAAAAAAACCCACCAAGGATTCAGAATACATCCAGGAAGACTGGAAGTACAAATGTGTACAAACCTTTTCTCTCAAATCATCTCTTTTGTTGGAAAATAAAGGTTGTCATTCCTGCACTGGGATATTTCCCAAGGGCATGTGCTGAGCTGGTGATAGCATATGTAATTACGCTATTAAAGGCTATTATCATATTTGTTCATGACCTTTTTATAGAACCTGGAAAAAATGGTAAGCTTCTTTTATTCCCATCAACCCTCTTCTCCTGAATTCCATAGAACCTTTATCATTGGACTCTGGCGATATAATTTTATCATTACAGCATGAAATAAATCTCGTCTGCATTTCAGTGTCTAAAGCTGAGAACACTGTCCAGCTTGTTCAGATTTCTGTGACGTAAGTACCATTTACTGGGTGGGTTAAAGACTAAACACATATTTCTCAAGTTTTAAGTGAGGTTGGGAGGCCCACAGTCAAGGGTGGCAGGCAGATGAAATGCCAACAGTGCCTCATTTCTTGATTTAGGAAAGGCCATCTTTGTCCAGTGTCCTGACACAGTGCACATTGTTTGCTCTCTGAGATTTAAAAGGCAGTCTTTCTTATGAGTACTCCTTGCTCATTACTAAATTGCCACCCAAAGACTCCACCTTCAGATACTACCATCTTTCTGCCCAAGATATGAACTTGGAAGGATAAGCAAAAGCATCCAGTTCATTAATATAATACAGCAACTTCACTTTGGAATAGCAGGCTCTGCCACTGAGGTTAGCTGTTTGATGTCTGCAAACACAGAGATGCAAACTGCTATTACTGACTTCAAATGACAGTGTGGCCTTTAGCATCAGTTGTTATCAGCCTTGTGTAGTCTTTTCAGATATGTGACAAAACGATATAAATAACTTAAGGGAGGAAAGACTTATTTTGGTCTTGGTTTTAGTGGTTTGGGTCTGTAGTCTTTGCCTGTTTTGGCTCCTGGCTTGATGTAGAAACAATATTAACAGCAGAAATATGTCAACTGCTGTTCGGCAATATGAAGCTAGTCAACTCTTGGAAAATGAGAGGGGGGGGGCGAGAATGTGTGTTTATATACATATACATACATACATATGCACACACACATATACAAATGCACACGTGTGTGTGTGTGGAGAGAGAGAGAGAGAGAGAGAGAGAGAGAGAGAGAGAGAGAAAGAGCAAAGATAATCATCAAGGACAAATTACCTCTTAAGTTGCACTCTAAATGATGTGGAGACATGCACAACACATGAAATTGTGGATGGTATTTAATGTTTAGATCATAACATAAATTTGGAGAAGGAAACAAGCTGTAACAAAGTAGTATGAGAAATGTAGCTCCAGTAGTGAAAAATGTAACTACAGTATAGATAAACATTGATCAGTTGAATGAAAATAAGATAGGACGGGCCAAGCAACCAAATCCACTTACTTTCTGCTTCTCTGCCCATCAGGATATTTTGTTCTACAAAAGAAACTCAACGCAAAGGAATAATTCTGTCTCTAGCTCCATATAAATCATCAGTACAATGAGTTCATATATGCTTTGTCCCATCTCTCTTTTACTGTCTTCTCTTTTCTTTCGTCTCTTTCCTAAATATAAACATACTGCACTTCAAAACAAACAAACCAACTAACCTAGTGGTAGATTAATAACTCTCTCCAACTCAATTCAATAATGAAATAATATGTAGATCTCTAGTGAATATATATAACTGATCCAGGATTTGATCCAGATGTGTGATAATGCAATGCATATTGTACCCTATTGATTTTATTATAAAAACTCTGGTTTTTAAAATTGATTTACTTTTTTTTTTGGTTTTTCAAGACAGGGTTTCTCTGTGTAACTGAATTTACTTGTGTTAATATTCAAATGTTTTGGCTATGAATACAAAGAATCTATTGGAGACTTTACGGTTTTTATTTATGGTCCATAACTTTTGAAAAAAATTGACATATCTTCTGTCACTTTCTTTGATCATTTAATGCACGTGAGGGCTGCTTTTCCCTTTAGAACATGCCCTTTCATGGTTTCAAGACCAATGTAGAAACTGCACAAAACAAGTGTATATGATAATAATTGAGAACAAAAATTAAGCTTTCTTTTTTCTTTTTTTTTTTTTTTTTTGGTTTTTCGAGACAGGGTTTCTCTAATTAGATTTGCGGCTTTCTTATATTAAAAGAAAAAAAGAATTTAAGTTAGACTTTTTACTAGACAGCCCAGAATCGTTTCACACACTTTTACCTCTCAAGTGAAATGGGTGATGTCATCATATTCTAATGAGCTCAAGTTGGAAGGAACTTGGAGTCAGCAGGGACTCTACACAAAACAGCTAGTTGATCAATAAAACTGGACTTCCTTTGTCACTGAAAAATGGAAAGATAATAGAAGAGCAGAGAGTTAGCACAAGACTCTGCAACTTTGGAAAGCAGCAATCAACCCAGCACTCCTCATCCAAAGACTTTGTCATAAGTAAGAAAAACCTTCTAGGTGATGAAGTATCATGCCCTCCATCTGCCAAGCAATGCAGAACTGCTAACATGACACAAGAAATTTGTAAGTTTCTTAATAAAATCATATTATCTTACTTAAGAGTCTACAATAACTCCATAATCAGGCTTTATAAAGACAAAATGCATTACTTAGTACCCTTACATAATTACCAGAAAAGAAATGTTTGAATAAATTGAATATCTACTATCGCCAACTAATGAAAACTTTGGACTATTATAAAAATAGGAGTTTTCAGTTTTAATAACTAGCGAAATGGATATTAATTTAGATTTCCTCTGGAGTAATGTAGTTTTAAAATACATGAACCATTTCAGCATGCATATTTATGACCAATTTAAATATAATTCAATTTTCTGTGTCGCCTACAGTGATGATTTATATTTCAGTGAATTTCATCAAGCCATTTTTTAAGATGTAAATTCTGCATTAGTTAAAATTTTTACCAAGAAGTTATGGAATGTGAACTTATTATCTTTGGTACAACATAATTATGCACAGTGAGTAGTACCCAAAATAAAGCTGCCATAGCTGATGCTGTTTTAAATGGGAGCATTTCAATGTTCTAACTTAATTCTTGCTGCTTTCATCCTACTCTGATTAAACCTCGGGTTGTCAATAAAGTGGGTACAATACAGCTTCAATTTTGTTACTGGTAGCTTTTCCCAATGATACAATTATGAACACTTAAGGACTTTTCATAGAGAAATATTTTTTTTCTGTAAGATTCTGTCATCACTAATGTTTCTTTGCTTAAGGAAGACTATATATATATATATATATATATATATATATATATATATATGTGTGTGTGTGTGTGTGTGTGTGTGTGTGTGTGGTTATATGTGTATATGTTTGTAAGTATATGTAACTTGATAGGAACTATACTGTTATAATACAATGATACAACATATGCTACTAATATTAACAGAAATTTTACATAAAATAAAGTACTAATTAATAATTTATATTGGTCTGTTACCTGTATTCAATGAATGAGAATTCTTGTGGGGGCTAAGTCTTAGTTCATACACCCCAAAGCATAAGAGCCATGACTTTTGAAATAAAACACTTAAGTAAGAGGATAACTTTTGCCAAGTATAGGATGATATCTCCAGATAAAAAAATTAAATAGCTGAATAATATGGTATTCTAAGTTTAATTAATACTCTTCTGATATATATATATATATATATATATATATATGTAATCTTTACAAATTCTATTTAATTTTCAAAAGTACACCGTTGGGTTTTAATAAATCAAGATCTCCAAAGTATCCAAAAATAAGTGAATAAATAAATAAATAAATAAATAAATAGGAAACATCATGTGACGATGTTGTGCAATGTCAACTTTCATACTGAAAATATGTTTGAAGACAATCCTTGGGACTTTAGTCATTACAGCTTTGCAGGATGCAGAATATAGAAATACCTCACAGTGCCTACCGACTATGGGAAGTATAAAGACATAATCTTCATGCACAAAGGTCCAAAGTACATGATTGAACAGGAAATAAATCCATAAGCTGAAGCTATCTGGGAAAGCCAATCCCATTTTGGTTCAGAAATTAGGGTAAATGATGAAAATAAAACAAATAACAAAAATCATTATTGCAAATAACCATATGTAAGCCAAATAAGTTTATTAAGTTTTTACATAAAAACTTAAGATATCCATGCTTTTCCAAAATACATGAATAATTTATTTATGCTATCTTACAGTCACATTGATTTCATGTAAAGTATTTAGTATCAATTTAACTAAAACTGGCAGCTTCACATTGACTTACTAGAATCATTTAGGATCCTGTGTATCCCACAATCCATCCTCCCCCAACCCACACCACAGTCTCATTTACAGAAGTGCAATAGAACACCGCTGCAGTGTTCCTTCCCCCACATCCAAATCTTCTATAGATCCCACAGTCATCTCCTCCTAACTTCCCTCCTCTCACTTAGTTGTTTTATCCCAGCCCCTAACTCCAGAAGGCACCCCCTGCTCATGCCTGCCAGATAGCCTGCCCGTAGACCTTCTCTGCTTTCTCTGCTCTTCCAGATCCAATCCCCCAGTCTCATCCCCAGCACTGTAGAAGAACAAGAGTAGCAGCCCCACCCCATGCTCTCGTCTGTTGATCCCACAGATCATCTCAATCTAACCAGCCTCTTTCCACTGATTGCTTTGCCCCAAACTCAACCCCAGCAGATATCACCTACTAACCCAAGGGCTGCTCTTCCCAGGGCAACAGGTAAGCTGAAGCTAAATCCACACTTCTCCTACTACTCTTGGAATGCAATTCCTCCAGTTTCATCCCCAGCTCTACAGCAGTAAACCCGTTGAAATCTCCCATTCCTTTTTTGACCCCATCTCCAGCATCACAAAGACTTTATCCTCTAACCTTTCTTTTTCCAACTCATCCCAATATTACCGCCTCCAAGACCAATAGGTATTATCTGTGAAAATACCAGCTGAGCAGGCCAGAAAAACTAACAGGCAACACACAGCCATAACAGTCTACAAAACATCCAAAAGAGGAAAATGAAACCAAGGAACAAAACACTGACCCAACAAAACAAACCCAGAAGTCAGCATCTAGGACTACTATAACCATCCAAAACCACTGGCCTAGATGACAGCATAAAAAAAACAAAACAAAACAAACAAACAAAAAAAAAAAACCAACATCAATAGCAGCCAGGGCAATAAGTCTCTGCTGAAACCCAATGGAAATAGATGCAGTAAGAAAACACAAACAGGAAATTTTAGAAATGAAAAATTTAGAAATTCAAGCAGGAACTACAGAGGCAAACTTCAACAACAGAATACAAATAATGGAAGAGAGAATCCAGAGTACTGAAAATACAATAGAATAAATTTACATACTGGTCAAAGAAAATGTTAAATCTAAAAATCTTCTTGACACAAGACATCCAAGAAACCAAGACCACTCTGAAGAGACCAAACCTAAGAACAATAGGAAGGGAGGAATGGAGAAGAATCTCTGTTCAAATGCCCTGATCAATTTTTCATATTGAAAAAAGTATGTCTAACAAAATCATAGAAGTATAATCTCAACCAAAAGAACAAGATGCCTATAAAGGCATACGAAGGATACAGATCAACAAATAGATTGACTTAGAAAAGAAAATCCCCTTGCCACATAATTAAAACACTAAATATACATAACAAAGAATGTTAAAAGCTTCAAGGGAAAAAGACCAAGTAATATATAAAGCAGACCAATTAGAATTATACTTGTCTTCTCAATGGAGATTTTAAAAAACGAGAAAAGCCTGCACATATGTGCTGCAAACTCTTAGAGACCACATATGGCAGCCAAGACTACTATACCCACAAAACTTTCACTCACCATATTTGGGGAAAATACAATATCCCATAATAAAGCCAAATTCAAACAATATGTATCTATAAATCTAGGGTGACATAAGGTGCTAGAAGGAAAACTCCAACCCAATGTGGTAACTATACACATGAAAACACAAGAAATGAATTATCTCACCCTAGCAAAATCAAAAGAAGAAACACACACACACCAACAACAACAATGACAAGAACAACAACAATAATCACAAAATGATGGCAATCAACAATTATTGATCACTAATATCTCCCAATAGTATCAATTCCCTATTAAAATGAAATAGACTAATAGAATGGATGGAAAATTGGGATCTATCCTTTTACTGCATACAACAAACACACTGCATCATCAATGATAGAAATTACCTCATGGTAAAGAGTTAAAAAAAATGATACTCCAAGCAAATGGATCTAAGCTAGAAGTAAGCTAGGGTAGCCATTTTAATATCTAACAAAATAGACTTCAACCACATAAAGATTCGACAAAGAAAGAGAATGACAGACCAAGTTCCCTTATGACAATAGATATAAAAAATAATCAATGAAATACTTACAAACCAAATCCATGAACACATTCAAAAGTTCACCCCCCTTGTTCAAGTAGGCATTCCTCCCAGAAATGCAGTGGCAGTTCAATATTACAAAAATCAGTAAATGTAATCAACCATATAAAAATGATAGAATAATGACCATCTTATTAGATACAGAAAATGTCTTTGACAAAATCCAACACCCCTTTATGATAAAAGTCCTGGAGAAATAAAAAAAAAAAACAGGGGGTATACCTAAACATAATAAAAGCAATTTATAGAAAACTTATAGACAACATCAAATTAAATGTAGAATAACTAAAAGCAATTCCTCTAAAATCAGGAACAAGACAACGTTGTTCATTCTCTCCATATTTATTCAATATAGTATTTGAAATCTTAGCTAGAGCAATAAGACAATTGAAGTGGATTAAGGGGATGCAATTTAGAAAAGAAGAAGTCAAAGTAACATTATTTTCAGATGATATGAAAGCATACATAAAAACCCCTCAAAATTCCACTAGGGAACTAGTACTACAGCTGAAAAACTCTGTGAGCAAAGTAGCTGGATACTATATTAACTCAAAAATGTCAGTAACCCTCTCATACACAAATGAAAATTGGACTGAAAAGAAATCAGGGAAACAATGCCTTTCACAATACCTTCAAATAATATAAAATATATAAAATATAAAATGTCTTTGGGTAACTCTAACAAAGCAAATAAAAAACTTGTATGATCAAACCTTCAAGTCTTTGAGGAAGGAAACTTAAGAAGATATCAGAAGATGGAAAGATCTTGCAAGCTACTGGATCAATAGGATTAACATTGCAAAAATGTCCACCCTACCAAAAGCAATTTACAGATTCATTGCAGTTCCCCTCAAAATTTCAGCACAATTCTTTCCCATATCTTGACAAGATTATTCTCAAGTTCAAAA